CATACTCTATCATATTAAATTTTTGTCGTTTGTATTATCCTTTAATTACTCTTTAACTTGATTTCACTTTCTCTGGCATTAACAACTTAACCAAAATAGTTTTTCCAATCATGCAACAAAACCTAGCCCCTGCTAAACCAAGAAAGTTGGCTGTTCACATTGACAAATCAATCTTAACATTCATTTTCTTCCATGTCTTCATGACTTTAGAATAAAATAATTAAATAACTAAAATGCTGTCTTGTCTTCTTTATTAAACTTAGGCTGTAGTTCTGTATGTCCAAATTGGGTAAGCGTATATATACTAATTTAAATTAATAATTACATTATTTCAAACCAATAGTTTTTCTTAATTTTGTCATTGTTTGTCTGATTCCATAAATACAAATGTTTATGATGTAATGTTGTTTCAATCATTATGATCATCAGATTCAAACATTTTTTCCATTAAATAACTTGCTACTTGTAAGTAGATTATTTTATCAAGCTGTGATTTGATGAAATAATTTTTACATTGAAAGTTGTCATAAATAGAATGAAAAAGATGTAATAAATCAGTTTGAAACAAATTCTGAATCTTTTATTGCACCATAGCAATATGATTAAAGGAAGATTCTACCTTTATCATGTAAACAATTGTAGCTATTTGAGTGAAATAATGATAAATGTATGTTGAAAAGCTTGACAAGAATGTTATACTATGTTATTTTAGTAACTGTAAAATCAGAATTTTGCATCCTGTCTGTATGAGGAAACACCTGATGACATATCTGTTGAAACTTGATATTTAGGAGTATAGTTTGTCAAAAAAAAATATAACTATTTTAGTTTATGGAATATTAATTAAGATTTACCAATACTTAAAGTACTTTTTTTAATGTGAAAGCTAAGACATATGTTTTATATATATTCTGTACTTTCATTAGCAATCATTGAATTTTGTTGACATAAAAGATTTAGATGAAAAACATTTTTAATACCCTTAAATAAACAAATGTGCAACAAATATTCAATTTACAAATCTGAATAAGTATTTTATTCTAATTAAAAGTATTAAACTACCATTTCTCCATTTGAAGTCACATTTCTTTGAAGTGCCTTCCTCATGTAGACAAAAAGTAAATTCAAAGTTTTATATCACACACAATGCATTATTTTTCAGTAATTTATATTATTCATGTTATATTGTAAATGACAGTTAAGATACAGTTACTTTGTATCTTGTAATATTTTAACATTTTAAAATCAAAAGTTATAAATGCTACATCTAATATTGATTGTTTAATATCAATACTTGTGATAAGTAATAAGCAGATTCTATTGTAATTTATGCATATAAATAGACATATATCTGTAATACATGTCAAGTAACTGTATCTGTCTATTTATATGCATAAATTACAATAGAATCTGCTTATTACTTATCACAAGTATTGATATTAAACAATCAATATTAGATGTAGCATTTATAGCTTTTGATTTTAAAATGTTAAAATATTACAAGATACAAAGTTTAAAGTGCATTTTATAGTTACTGGCAGATAATAAACAGCTTAAAAAGAGCTGTCTTTCTGTACAAGCAGTCTTGAACATTTAATGATTAAAACGATAACTAGTGTTTTAAATGTTATTTGTTTGCAATATAGTAGTTTAAATCGTTGGCATTTCTTACTTCAATTATACTAGTTACTGTTACAGATTTTCCTGCTGTTTTTTTGCAGTACTAGCATTAGATAGATATTATTAATAATTATTATTATAAATGAAGATTTATATTATTATTAAATGATTAAAAGGAGATTTAATTAATATTTTAATGTCTGTATTCTTAACGATCCTGCTTAATGCAAGTAATTGTTTTTTTAACTCTCCATTCTATGGACACTAAGAGGACTATTTTTTTAGCAAACACTATTGGTTCAGCCAGGCAACAAGAGAAGGGATTTTATATCCAGATGGATCACCTCAAAAATTCCTGGGATTTTAAAACCCATCTGGATTTGATCTCAGATTCCTAGTAAGCCTGAAGTGTGATTACAAAAGGGGTTATAATCTTTAGTTTTATCATCCAACTTTGATAATTCCAAATTTTCTACATCATACTTGGTTATTTTTGAATTTTTTTACTGGAAAAAATAAAGTTTTCTGTAAATTTTTAAACCTTTGCAAGGCTTATGCCCCACCTTCAACTCTACATTCCATATGTTTTTGGCTTATTTAGAAAATGCATTTGTTTAAGCTCAAATATTCAAGTCTTTCCTACTTATTTAAAAAATATGAAAAAAAATTCTGTTAACAATTTTCCAAGGATTGAATGAAATGAACTTGTACAGTACATCCATTGTAATTTATCTTAATGGAGGTTTGAAAATTTTAATACAAATTAACATTTATTTATTAAATAACAAAATTACTTATATGAATAAAGCATTAAAAACTTAAAATTATAAATAAATTGAGTTGGGTAAAAATTTATTATTTAAAGATGAATTTGGTAATAAGAGTTTGAAAATCAGCAAATGTAAATTTATATTAAAAAAATTTATCAACTTTGGAAATATTGTAAATATGTAATTAAGTTTAGTCATACTGCTAATGTTGATGCATTTTTATTTAGTATCAAAGAATATTATGCTGAACAAAAATTTAAAATATGTAAATGAATCATCTTAACCCCTTAAGCCCATACCCAAGATAATAAATACTATTTCACATATATTAATTTTGTTACAATCTATATGTGTTTCTCAACCTCTAACGAATCATCATTCCCTTCAATAAAAACTATTACATAGTATTGCCTCCTTCACTTTGAAAACAATTTTATTGGGTTTATTATTTTAATTTTTTACAAAAGTATATAACTATCAAATACATATTCTAAGTAAATAAATGTTTATTTGATTTTGATATAATTAACAAAATTAAAATTAAGCATTATTTGCTGTGAATTCCCGCTGCAAGCTTCAAAGTTCCGATGCTGAGGGCCAAGGCTAAACGCCAAATTCATATTGCATTGAATAGACTAGTCACTAGTACTGTATAATGTTGTTTGTTTAATTATTGTACGATATAACAAATAAAATATCTAATTATTCTTAATGTTTTACTATATCGCCCAGAAAATTGTTTTTCACCCCCAAAATATAAATTATTACTAATCGCCCCCAGTATGGAAAAACGCCCACATGGGGGCAATATTGCCCTGTTGAGAAACACTGATCTATATGAAAATATATTTATAAAAGTGATTCTGAAAGGATCTTAGTATGGTATTATTCCTATACAAAATAAAATATATGATAATTTATAGATTAATTAAAATACTGATATTAATATATAATGATTTCATAATTTAATGGTTCTAATTATCTTAAGATTTAAAGCAAATTTCTATATTAATCCTATAATCAGTGTGAACAACTTTTAAATTTTATTGATCTGGATTTCCAGAATTTATCAAACTATGATAAAAGTAGCATAAACTAAACTTTTATAAATAGAACTTCTTAATGTCATTATATATATATATAATTGATAATGACTAATTACAACATGATTTGCTTAAAATTTATTGTAACTTAATTTATAAGCAATTCTATTACCAAAATTTCTTTATATTCATTAATGTTGAATCTTATCAAAAAGTATTTAATACAGTTTAGTTACTTCTTAAAACAAGAAAGATTGTAAAATTTCAATAAAATTTACTTGCTTAACTTTTCAAAATCTTTCTCAATTTTATGCAACTTCTACTTATTATTATAAGACTCAACTTGGATTACAAAAGCACGGACAATATACATAACTTCAACCGATTACTTAAAATTTTATCTATATATTTTACAATTATTATAATCTAAATATATTGACGATATCTACATCCCATAAAATTTCATTCTTATCAGTATTCCTTTAATAATTAAATTTTTACAGAAAAATTTTCCAGTATTAAGTAACTCCTCCATATAAACGTTTACGTAATTTTATATTTGAATTCGTCCTCTTGACGAAATTACATTCCTCACTCATTTCTGAATTATATACGTACCGAAATTTTATTTTTGTACTTTGAAAATGTTATCATTCTGATTTGTCAAAAATATTTATTTTACACAGATTAGAGAGATGATAAACTTATACCATTTTTTTTGTTTTTTTTTTTTAAGAAAAATGTTCAGATACTTTATATAAAGTATATAATTTCTCTTATATATAACACTCTTTAGCTTATTATATAAACTAATAAGTCTGATTATTATATATATAAATGAGGAGAATTTATTATTATTTCTCATATATGTACTGTACAGTATATAAGCCTATATAAAAAAAGTTTTTTCCAGTACCAGGACATAAAAAAAACATACATTTTAATAGCATGTTTAGTAAATATTATTTATATACTATATATTATATATATATATAGTATAGAAATAATATAAAAATAGAATTGTATTAACTTAATTTGTATACAAATATATTGGTATTAGTTTATTATAAGTATGTGATCGTGTATAAGAGAAAAAATTCGAGCATTTCCATTTAAGAGAATTCGAATGTCTTCCATGTTACTGATGGCATAATGCCATCTTCCAGTAGAAAAAAAAAAAGTTCAGTTCAGCATTGACCTAAAAACTCGAGTAACATCCTATTCGTCGCATTCAATATAATATTAACCGTATAATTAAGAATTAATTTCGTGTATTATTAAAAGAAGCGATGGCGTGTTTACGGCAAATATGCGCTTAAACGCTATATAATAAGGAAAAATTACGAAGGAAGTCTAACTTCAAGGTTATATACGTAAGAACAACAACGAAATGATTTAATATTACTTCGTCTCCTTTCGTAATTGCTAACGTTACTTTAATAATCTTTTAATTTATTCGTTCAATTCCGAAATTCCCTTCTAAATCCGGAATTGTATTTAGGCTGTGAAAAGTTATAAATAGATCGGCAACCTTACACAAATAAGGAAAATAGCAAGTTGCACTCACCGTTCTTAGCGCTGTACTTCACTGCACGACGATTTCCGAATTTCTGATCGCGTTATTTTTATCCCACAAGTTATTTCTTCAAATAAAACAAGTTCTCGATCTTCGATCGTTGCTAAATTGCGGCGCTAAACCCTCCTACTGTAATCTTCCCGACGGTGACGCCACCTGCCGGAAATATTTAGGTGCCGGTGTTTGATTACCCGATTCGAAAGTCGGGCGAAATTAATTAATTAACGCTAGAGTATTATAAACCGGTGGAAGTTAATAATAAAATGGGATGAAATTATCTTTTTTTTATTATTATTATTAATTTTAGTTACGCGCGTATAGATTTTCATTCCGGTCGACGATGATTGATGGCCTCCGATTTTAATGAGTGGCAATCGCTTTTGAAGTTATTCGAGCGACGAAATGCAAAATTAATACCGTTTAAACGGTTAAAACGCGTAGAATTTAATTACGGGATGTTTAATAAATCCGGCGGAAGTAATAGGCGTTAATTAAATTTACGGGAAATTGTAAATGTACGGGATCTTACCGGCGGAATTTGCATTGTTCGATGATAAATTCCGTCGACGTAGACTCTATAAATGAATTTATTGAACGGAATTAGAACACTACAATTAGAAATGGCGATTTTGTGTGTGTTAATTCGACGTTTGATAGAAGTTAATCATAAAAAAAACTATATATATATTTTAAAATTATCTCCGTGTAAGAGTAATAGTCGAATCTCTTAGGCTCTATTATTATTAGTTTTTAATATATAATACAAGGTTTATAATTACCTTTAAATTAATTTTGAACGTTCAAAATTCAATTTTTACATTCGACGGGCAAAATTTTAAATTTTATCTTTTTATACTCTTTAATGAGCAATATTGAAGCAATACAGTAGAGCATCGATTATCCGACCCCCGATTAACCGTCACCTCGGTTAACCGACCGCGTTCTAGTTGGCAAATTCAAATGTCCGCTAGTGATATGGAGCTACAATATTTGGCTACGTCTTGGCTACTTTAATAGTATTTTTACGTGTTTTAGCTAGCGACATGGCTCGACCATGAAAGGGAGCCAGTATTTAAACGAGGCTTAATTTTCTAATTTTTAACCATACAATAGCGACGATTATTATTTTAAAAAAACTTTTGTTAGGCTTAACATCGATGAAAATTCAACGCGAAGTAGGTTAATAGCGATATACTAATTACATGGGATATAATAATATACTACACTAATAATGGATTTTTTTTTATTTTTCGGTTATCCGACTTTTCAATTATCCGACCAACCCAGTCCCCAATTGAGTCGGATAATCGATGCTCTACTGTATTACATAGAAGAAAGTCGATGTTCGATCGCTTCGAAAATTGGATACTTGGTTTGATTTTAAACGAATCCAGACATTTAAAGACAGGAGCTTCAAATTGTACTGAATAATGAAGATATTAAGAGTTCTGAATATATCTTCCTGTTTAAAGTTGACCACGATGATCTTTTTAGAATATCAAAATAACATGATAGTAGAAGTTACTTGTTTGCATAATAATAATATAATGTATAGCAAGAAATTAAATGAAAAATTCTTCCTAAAACGGCACTGAACATTTTGGTTGTGTACACATTAGGCGTTTTGCGTTGCGTTAAACGCGCGTCAGCAGCGTACACACCGTGCGTTAGCTCGGCGTTCGACGGCCGTTTAGTGGAGCTTGAGCACTGGCTCAGTTTGGAAATGGACGTAAAAGTAATTGCTTGTGTGTGCCTCCTCCATCGTCGCTATAAAAGACAATGACAGAGGCAAAGAGAATTTTGGGTGCACCCAATATTACTAGATAGACTGACGCATGGAATGTTTCTGACGTTGTATCCAAAACTAAGACAATATGAACCCAAATATTTTAATTATTTTAGAATATCTATAAAATCATTTGACGATGGCTGGTCTCTTTTAGATTTCATCAATAAATAGATCAGTATAGAAATGAGCGTTCTCCATTTCGGCCAACATACGTCTACTCTACTCGAAAGCGCGCGATCGAATGTACAACAACATGGCAGCACATATATCTCAAAGCGCGCGGCTGACGCCCGCGAAACGCGCGTTCTAACAAAAATCTATCAACGCGCGCTTGACCAGAAGCGCGCGTTTGAGTATGTATACCTATGCAGAACTCTTGGTTCTTTAAAACGCGCGTTTAAAGAACCAAGAGTTAACGTTTAAACGCCTAATGTGTACACAGCCTAATGATCTATATTCTTGACCAATGGGACGAACTGCTGTTGCTATTTAGGCTTGAAAGAGAAAAAGACAACTGCTTTGTTGCCAAACAATTAATAACATTTTAAAATTTTCAGCACACAAAGCGTACAGTACATTATATTTTTCAAAATATTTTGCAAAACAACCTGCTCTTTCAAAGCGAAAATGTCAATCCGGTGAAACTGTTTGAAGCCTTGCCTTTGTTGTGTAAGTCAATGCTGGCCAAACTTGTAATACTTCAGCGACTTCAAATAATAGACGCTAACGAACTCTTCGGTTTTGAATTTGAGAAATATACTATGCATATCACTGCAATATATTTTGGCTATGACTTTGAGTCATTTGTAAATGAAATAAAAATGGACGTAAGAGAGATACGAGATGTGAAAGAAAGATGCAAACAATTACTTCTAGTTTTGTGTTACGAATTTAGAAATTCCCGTAAATGTCAATGTTCTTCAGACAGTAAAGGAACTGCACTTAGCAACGGTTACTGTACAGTGTAAAAAACCTATTAACCAACTTTGTAATTTGTTGTGAGGTTCGAAGACGTTACAGCTATTGAAGCGGAATGGCAAAATATTTCTAATAAATGAGGAAATACAGAAGACACAATCTAATTCTGGACCAAAGTGAGAAATGGCAGTTTGGGCAGAAAATGACTGATTTGAAAATAGTTTATAAATATCCTTCGTGTTTTTATCAGTGTTGGTGTCAAATGCAACGGAAAAAAAGTTTTTTCCCATGTATAATATGGTGGAAAACAAGTTAGAAAACACATGTTGCTAAAAACAGTCCAAAGCATATTGTTTGTAAGGTATTTTTGAAAACATCTCCTATGGCAGTGATGGGCAAACTTTTTAAAGAGCGGGCCAAAGGAAAAGAAGAAAACTTTAGCCGGGCCAATATAATGGTAACCTAGCGCTGCATCTGAAAATCCAGGTGGCGCTATAAAAACATGTGCAGGCCGTCTGCCATATTTCTTTTTCTCTCTTTCGGCTACGCTACGCACGACGAGTGGATGTTCTGTACCGAAGCATACTTGTAACCGATCGAGCTTTTACTCAATAAGTGTAAAACAAAATTTTGTACATGATTGTAAATAAACTTTCATGGTGAGATATAAAGCTTCGGTTATTTTATATAATCAACGAACACTCAAGTTAAGTGGTGCATCAACCACCACAGCCTGTATTCTTTTTTACTCGTCAGATTAGGAATAATGTCGCGCGGGCCGGATAGAACATTTCAGGGGGCCGCATCTGGCCCGCGGGCCGTAGTTTGCCCATCACTGC